GACATTCTAAAAGATGGATGCAGCTTCCAGGCAAAGTTCTTTCACCTGCGATCTTTTTTAATGGCCACCAACTGGTGAGAAAGACGTCCAGTGTCGAGGCTTTGCAGACACATGACCACTAACCATGTAATGATAACTTAACTTGTCTCCCAACTACCGATCATGAGAAAAAAACAAATTTTCATCGACCAGTTCCAAGTTGTTTCTGAAGGTTGATGGCAGTCCGCAGGGAAAATTATTGCCAAAGTCCAAGTCACCCAGGCCTACAGAGCCGTCAGTGACCCCCTAGCAACTACCTGTATTCCCCACCTGGTTGCTAAAAACACTAGCATAATGCAGTGGTTGCAGTTTGGATGGAAGTGGCTGACTTGTCTACAAATAAGAAAAGTGTCACTCAAATCGGAAAAGGAGAAGGTTCACCTTCAGGGTGAAAAGGCGTACCTCAGCGCTACAGACACCTTTTATTTTGAACTTCTCCATTTCTGTTTTGAGTTGCACTTTATCAAGCTGTTTTACTGCTTAGTTTGCAGTGAGCAAGTATTTGCATACATACAGCAAAAACTACAGGCAACTGTAGCAATCTGCTTGCAACTAAAGCAGTCACAAGGAGGTTTTTGGTGCAGCACCTTCTTTGCAACTGATTTCATCCAGCTACAACCAGAAAACTCTGGGAAGCCCTACCTTGCTACGTGGTTATGGGATGACATTTAGCTCAAATTTGCATATCATTTTCACCTTAATTGAACTGCTCTGTAGTTCATTTGGTGCTGGACTGAGACCACCTTCTCCAAAATGTCCCACTGCAGTATTTCCAAAAAGTCTTGTTACACAATCTTTGTATTCTCATACAGATTCCAGACATTACTTTTCAAAAGACTTCCCATTGTTCAGAAAACATGGATTTGAAAACAAATGACTCCATAAATAACTTAAATCCAATAATAGTATAACATAGGTAATTACATTTGTAAATTCCAAAAGTTGTTGCAAAACTTTGCCAAGAACACATACCCTGAAAAATCCATCTTTAAATATTCATAATGCATTTGGATAAGGTTCAAATACTCACAAGCCGTAAAACATGGTACCAATGATAAAGGGATAGTTTCTAGTACTTAAAGCAGCTCTTCTAGTCCCTGCCCAGCCGTAAACTCCCTGACACTTCGCAGGAGGAGCAGTGCACTGGCTCCAAGAATCCACTGCTTTTTATTGACCATGACCAAGCTGTAAAACTCAGATGCTTTCTGTGCCACTCTGGAATGGGGAAATCGAGCCATCTCTCTCCAGTGCTGTTCCTTGGAGGAATGAGCACTATGCATGCTGAGCCTGTCAAATACCAAACCAAAGATGTTTCAGGGAACCGTGCGGTGACATCAGATGAAAGACTTTACGAAAAACTAACATAGATTGTAGATAGTCAAAACTATAGCATAGCTTCTGTTAAGAAGGATGCTGTCAGAGTGACATCCAAGGTGAAGAAGTACTCCACCCCAAAGACTAATTTGTGGTTTTTGTGCAGCCAGCTGTAGACTTAAACTTCAAACAGTGCTTCTATACATATTTAACCGGGGTCAAGTCTACGCAGACGCGTTCCACACATGCTCACTAGAAATCGCGTGGACCTCCTGATGGAGGAAGAAGAGCTGCTTAGTTTGCTGTGTTTGGCTGAACAACAGGAAAAAGTCAAAAAGAGAAAACGGTGTGAGCAAAATCAAAACAAGAACAAGATCAAGGTTGTGCAAGACATCACTAAACTACATATGGCGTATGAAAGAAACTTTCAGTTGACTTTTAATTGGTGTGACTGCAGTGGTGCTAGTCCACACGGCTTCAGATTTTGGATTGAGTGCTAATGTGCATATCAGTGATACAATGAGACAAAATGATTTGGCCTTTAAAAAACACTTAAAAGAAGGTTCTGTAAATGTCTAAGTGGCTAATTCGTAGTAAACAAAGACTGTGGTTGTTTTAAGTTTACAACCGGTAGAACTTATTCCAAAGTTAACACACTTATGGACAAAGGAAAATACCTCAGAACACATCAAAATGTTCATAAAACGTCTGAGAGGAAAAGCTTTTTCAATGTCCGGGGTTTCTCAGAGATGTGTGTGTTAGTTGTGGTTCCTTGACTCACCAGTTGTGCGACGTACATTGCTTTCCAGTGTATCAGGCCCTCCTAAATAAACCTCTGGCTTTTTTCTCTTTATTTTCTCGAATTCACCACCAAGTACAGTATGTGCTATCCATTAATCTCTGTGTTCAGCATCTTCTCAATAATCCCCTTTACAATTAGAAACTAAAAAACGCTGCTCTGGTTAGAAATATTTGTACAGGCTGGCATCATCTGCAAAGAAGTAAGTCGTTAAAGGTCCTTCCTAAAGACAGTTGGTATTTAATAATCAAAAGAAACATTCTTTCTTTAAGTTTTCCTTCAGACTGACTTTTGCAAAATCGGCAAAACCTTTTTTGCATCTTCTTCATTTTATTTACCCTTATTTAACAGTCACAGAAAACAATTCTTTGTTGATGGGGGATTACAGCAGTTATCCAAAGCTTTTAGACCTGATTATTATATGCGTGTTTTCCCCTAACCTGCCTGAGCTGATTATCCTACATGTTACAACCGGCACCAGCTGATTACCCTGTCCCTTCCAGCTGTTTGTGCAGCAGGGTGGCAAACTATTTTCAGAATAATAGCGGATGTTAATTTGTAAGGCTTTATTGGGGGGGGATTGAAAAACAGGCCAGGCATTGAAGCACAGCCCCTCTTTTGGCTTTCAGAAACCATTATATAATCACCAGCCAGGGCTCAGTGTCGCAATTTTCTCTTTTTAAATGTCTTCACGTCAGGTGTTAATAGAACAGCCAATGCTTGGCCCACTGTTACTCAGTGGGCCAAGCAGTGAAAGAATTTCTTAGAAAAACAAAGTGAATACAATCGTTTGAACTATATATATAATAAAGATTTGAATATCCAAATCAAGATTTTTTTTTTTCAGCCATTTAAATATTTCAGTTGTCTAGTTTGCACACATCTAGTTTAGAAGTCTGAGATCTGGGTAAATCCAGTTCTTCTGTTTCCTAAATAATGCAGGTGCACAAGGTATTTTTAGCATCCAGCTACCTGATGAGCAACATGAAAGCCTCCCTATCACCCCCCATCTCCTCCTCTTCATTCACACCTCTGTTAGCCTCCACTCTGCTTTGTGTCTGGGGGTCTGAGGAGAAAGATGCTTCTGTTTCTGAATGAAAGCTGCTCTCTGTTCAAAATAACGTTGTCAGGACAAGGCAGACAGAGAGCAGAAGTTAATGCACTTTGTCAGCACTGGCAGTCTTCTGAGCCAAGAGCTATTAACTCTGAGAGGGAAAGGCATTTCCTCCTTGTAAATGCCATATTAAATTATTATTATTTCATTTGGTAACAGGGAAAAGCCCATCAGGACTATATTGTTCAAGGTGAGCAGGGAATTGTAAATGGGGAGTCTGGGTTTTTCTAAAAGCCACCAAAGAGGGTGGGTTCTGGGGGGTTAGGGAGTTAAAAGAGGAAGTGAGTACTGGCGTCACTGTAACTAAATGTGATCATTGAGTCAAAAATCTGTCACGCCCTGAGATGTATTATTTGGACTCAAAAAGCTCCCCCAAAAAGCAAAATACCCAAAACACCTTTGCTAGCTGTGGCTTTGCTTCTTTACTTCATGCAGTGAGCATGCATCATGTCTCCATCCTCAAAATCTGTGTTATTTGAACGAGCCTCCAGGGTGCTTCTGCCAAATAAAAATGTGAATGAACAGTGGGACATAGCCAATGGTGGTGTGGTCCTAAAAGCCTGCCTGGATGTTTCTGCAGGTGGATCGGGCCCAGGGGACTTGTGGCTTGGCCTCACTGGACTATGTAAAAGACACCTGGGCCAAAATGGCTGAGCAGGATATTCTCACCATTTGGGTGACTGCCCCCCTTCCCCCACCCTTTCCCTCCTTTTTTTTTTTTTTTTTACATTGATGCAGCTGCCAAAATGAGTCCACAGTGTGCAATGTGATATGTTGTAAATTTTACATGTAAGAAATCAGTGTCACTGAGACCGTACGGCTGTTATCACAGCTTTATTACGAGCGTGGCGTCGGCATCCAGCCATCGCCAGAATGTCTTTGATCAATTATATTAAAAAAATAAGAAGCATAGGAAAGGGAAAATAATAATGTCATAATTTTAAAGACTCAAAAGTGACAATTTCAACTGAAAATGCGTAGTAAACTTTAAATCAATGGGTATTTTGGGTAAAAATAGACAAAGGCACGGATTTTGTTGGCTAATATAAAAATGTTTTGTCAGCTGTACACATGTAAAGTGTTTTTTCTGGCCTATGCTTTATATTTGTACAAATTAAAAATATATGCACTTATATGTAGAAAGCACGGAAATCATGAAACAACATTGTTCCTTTTTGTTCCTAGCTAACATCAATATTTTTGTTGTTGAGTTTGGCTGGTTCAGCTAAACCTGTACTGGCCATAAGCATGAGGGCAAATTTACCATTTAAATTATGTACTAAATTTCAAATCAAAGTTCCCTTAATTTAGAAGCAGGTAAACAAAAGCGGCATCACTGATTTTACTGGCTGAAAGGACATTTACTATTAACAGATATTTTTTCCCTATAGGATGATAGCAAATTAAGCTAGCAATAGTTTTAACCAATTTAAAATGTTGTCTCTGGCTGACTTTTTATATAAATATACTTTTAGAATAAATCCAGTCATATGAAATCATTAAACAAATCTGTGTTTTTTCTTCAAGTCCAGTCAAGAGCCAAAATAAAATCTAGCCTTTTTATACCGTGTAAACAAGTGCAGATTTCTTTCTGAAGTAGTAAAGTTTGGATCAATGAGTCCTTTATTTCAGTGCACTAGCCACCAATTTTGTTGGGTAGAAAATTAGAACTAAGCAATGGAACTTGTTCTGTCTCTCCATTGTCTAAAACCTGCTGCCGTTCTTCTCAAACAGATAAACCAACAGGCTATGGCCCCAGTGCAAGGCGGTCACGTGGCATTGTGGATGAGTGCTGCTTCCAAAGCTGTGAGCTGCAGCGCCTTGAGATGTACTGTGCACCTGTCAAGACTCCCAAGATTTCTCGCTCTGTGCGTTCACAGCGGCACACAGACATGCCAAGAGCACCCAAGGTTAGTAGCAGAGCGAACAAGGGGACAGAGCGTAGGACAGCGCCTCAGCCAGACAAGACAAAAAACAAGAAGGTGAGCAAAGCATCAAAACAGATCAATTTTAAAAATTGTTGGATTGAATTTACATTTTGTTACATAATCAGAGCATACGTGCATAATATCCTGATTAATTAAGGTAATATAGCTTAATTAGCAGAAACTAAAGTGACCTATTTTTTCTTCCACAGAGACCTTCACCTGGACATAGTTCATCCTTCAAGGTATGCATGCAAAATGATCTCATGTTTCATTGTCCTTTTGTCATTTAAGCTTTACCAAACAAGCAATCTCGCCAATGACATAAGAGTTTCAAAAGCAGGGCAATCTTTTTACAAGAAATGAAAACTTTATATTTATAACTCAAAAAAAGAACACCATTAGAATCGGAAGAAGAAACTAAGTGGTTTTTGTGGTAGACCTGCAGTGGCACTCCCCAGGCACAATCTCCACTCTGCTACTGTACATTATGTCCTAAAATTCAGATAGCTTACAATACAACACATGCAAGGGAAGGAGCCAAAGCACACATATCACGTTTAGTGATTTTATGTTTGCAGCTGTTCGTACATCACTGGCAGTTGGTGGTGAACAATTTTAGATCTGTTCGAAGGTTGAGATCATACTCTGTCCGAATATAGCATGTTTTCTGACTGAATGCATTTGAAATCCAAGTGCCCACATCTGATCAGAATAACCACACTCAGAAGAGGCAGAGTGTAAAATCAAGCATTGTAGAGGGAAGGATGTTGAAGAAAAATTCAGTGAGCTGCATTTGTTTGAATTCATTTAGAGTCCAAAAATCAATTATATAAAGAACACATCTTTGATTTAAAATATGCAGACCTCCTTGGCAGGGAGGTAAGGAGTTAAGAACTAAGTAGATAACTACTCCTAGAATCTACTCGAATAAGTACTGTAATAAGTACAGGCAGAACTACTTGTGTACTTCCCTATGTACTTATGTACTTTCCCTTACTTAGGTCTTGCATGGCTCAGGCACATAAAGGCCCTGTTTAGAGGCTAGGATGTGCAGATGTTAGTGGAAGAAGAAGTTATTTAAACACTGAGAGTGAAGAAAGTGATCATCAGTCAGGTCAGGTAATTTTAAGGGCTTTTACTATTACTAGATTCTGGACTCTTCCAGGGCACAGTCCAAAGCAATTTTCCCCTGATTTCCCCTTGCTGTCAGTTGCTTGAATACAAGACCAGGATACCCCGTCTGCTCTAGTGTTACCCTAACCAGTGTAAGAATCCTTATGGCATATGACTGACCTTAGACAAGATCACATTTAGACCAACATTTGGATGTTGGAATGTCTTGATGCATGTTGATTCCTATTTGAAGTTACCAGAAATAAAAAATGAAAAAATTGTTTTGTTTCATTATTGTTTATCACATCACCATCATGTTGCTGTGGTTAGCAGCTGTTTTAGGTTCTAAGTTTGAGCATCCTGGTTGGCTAGGGTCTTTCTGTTTGGAGATTACATATCTGATTTCTTTCCACTGACCAAAGATGCGGTTGTTAAGTAAAGTGGTCATTCTGAACTGGCCATAGATGTGAAAGTGTGTGTTTCTAAGTTTCTCTAAATTAGCCCCAAGATGCATGGGTTGGGATGTGTTCCAACCCCTTGTGACCCCCAAGTTGGATAAAGCAATATGAAAACTGCCGGGTAGATGGATTTTGACCAAATAAGTACAGAAGACCAGGCCATCCAGTATCTTCTATATCTCTGTTGTACATCTAAAAAAAAATAAAAATGTGTTTCTTTTTTGTTGCAGGAAGTCCACCAGAAAAACTCAAGTCGAGGAAGTTCGGGGGGCAGGAATTACAGAATGTAGGGAAGGAGAAAATGGACAAATGCCCAGCAACTTGGGAGGAGAGAAGGGAGTGGCCTTACCTGGTACCCCTGTGGAATGGTTCACTGTAAAACAAAAGAAAGAAGATGCTAATAATGACCTGAAAAGCTCTTCAAAATGATTGAAAACAGAGAGCTAGGTGGTGTGTAAGGGTCTGATGTGGAAAGTTGTGATTATTTTATACACTGCACCATTCCATACTGGGAGGAATTCTTTGTTAATGCAATGTAACAGACTAGTTTAGCTGCTAAGACACGAACAAGAGCTTATTATACCTCCATGTGGGAGCTGCAGCCTCCCCAGGCTCCAGGAAAGATGGGAACATATCTGGGCCTCAGCCAATCAGAGAGCAGCATGGCTGTGGCTCGGTCACATTTAACAGTTAGTACCCCAGTTCAAAGCTGATATATTACCTTCAGAGTTTGTTTTTATGCACCATCCATTACTGTGGATATTTTTATTATGTAAAAATAAATAAATAAAAAAGGTTTGCTTTAAGGACAAAGACCAGGTGGTTCATCAGAGTTTGAACATTGTTGTAGGTATTTTAACTTGAGTCTAAGTCTAAACCTTACTAAGAGGAGTCGCTGGAAGGTTTGAGATCAGTCCAAATCCCTCTTAAGCCCCAGGAAGTGTTCAAAACCTGAGGACTGAGTCTACAATCCAAACATTATAAAAAGAGCTCAAGCACTATTAGAGGGGATTTTAAAGAAAGTAGGTAGTACAGAAGGTACTACAAAAACAAGACTGGGATTTTTCACATTTTCCAAAACAGAAAAACAAATTAACCAGAAGCTAAAACTGAGTTCTCGTTTGGCCCTCAGAAGCGTGTCATTCGGTGAAGTCAAAGTGCATTTGGCAAACTGAAGCGGAAAAAGTCAAATAATGACAATCAGGCAAAATGTTTGTCGTCTGCATCCTTTCACATGTCAACACCCCAGCCAAATTTGATTTTTGACAACAGTTCAGTCAACATTTCAGTTTGAGTGGAAACTTGTGTTTAACCTTGAACACAGGTTTCCACTCACAACCCGTGTTCAAGGGTAAACACGATGTTATGAAAGTTTAGTCAAAGCAAGTGCTCTAAAAAAAAAAAAGCAGAACCTTCACACGTATGAGTTTAAGTGATTCATCTTGACCTGGATATTTTATTAGCTTAGGAAGGCTGAGAATTTTGCAACTTTATCTGATGGCAAGAGTAGAATAAACCTCCACTGCATTCATTGCAGAGTGCACCCAAGAAACACGCATATTTGGTGAACGTTGGCAAAACCACAAGGACAAATCTTTCTGGTGATGTGATGTTCGCATATCAGAACACAAATACACATACAAAAGCACTCACAAGGTAAATTAGAGTTGTGCAACTACAAGCAAAGGTCATGCAGACATACACCAACTTTGATGAAAAGCCAGTTCTGAGAAGTCCTTGCATGAGGACTAACAAAAACGGCTGTTTGTTTAAGCCTCCAAAAAAAAAAAAAAAAAAAAAAAAAAAAAAAAAAA